AAACGGGAAATTCATGTGAATACTAATAACATACCGCTTTTGTAAACTGGATTATACAACATTGATTTAATCAGTTACTATAACAACGTACCTTTATAACAATATTTCCTTTGTATAACTTTCCGTTTTCCTCGTAGATTGTGTGTATGTCACGGAAGCACCAAATAGTGAAACATTTACAAGCGATCTCTTCACCATCTTCATCTTTCTCTGGCTCAGGGTACAGATGTGGTTCTTCATCCTTCGTGGGTTCCGGATACAAATGTGGTTTCCCATCGTTTGAAGGTTCCGGGTACAACTCTTTGTCATCATGGGGTTTTACCAACTTACAGCTTGCATACATTTTCCTTGAAATTGATTTTTTTTAATTCAAGTTAACACAACTATATCTTAAAATACGAAAATTCAAACGTGGCGTGAAAAATATTTAAATATCATTTATTTGAATGGGAATATTACAATTACCACAAACTGGGAATTTGGGAATTGCCCCCAAAATATTACTTTTTAAATATGTATATCCACAAATATACATACTAATTTGTTGCCCTGACGTTAACTTTTTAGCATCAAATATATTTTGTTAAAAACTATTTTTCTATTGAGAACTTTGTGTATTTAAAGCGGCACATGTCAATTTTATAAAATGCTCGCAATAGTGTTGAATCGAACATAACCAAGCAACTTACTTGCATTCAACGGCAGCGTGAGGAAAAGGTTTAAATAATCGAACCACTTTTTTGCATTTTGTTGAACCGTAGAAGGATTTCTGAATACATTTTCTTTCCTTGCAATTAGAAACCAAGTCATCGCTGTAGCCGATGTCTTTTGGAACAGGACATGAATAATTCGGGTGGGGAAATTTCCTATGCATTAAAGTATTTTATCATCGGTTGAAAACAAACGTCATATTGATTTATTAGTATATATATCAGATTTATTAGACGAAATCGTCATTTTCATTGACAGAATTTAATTTTAAAATAAACATATGATTAAATAATATGTTATTGTTTAAATGTGAAGATTTTGATGATAACATACTGAAATATACTTGCCTTCAAAGATAAAATAATTTTATTTCATTCGGTGATGCATTTATGAATAAAATCAATACGCAGGAATAAAATAAAATGTTTTCGGTTCAGTAAAAAATGCAATAATTTCAAATTAAAAGCAAATTACTCGAAATTTCCGCATTCGGGAGTGTTTTTGAAATCGATTCCTTTTTCTTTCGGGAAATCAAACTTTCTTGCAGAGTGAACAGATATCTGAAAATAGCATTTCAATGTGAAATAGATCAATGGAAGTTTTTAGAGCTACTTTTTTGAGAGTGGAAATTGAATAATCGTCGTGATATGTTCGGTATTTTAGTCTTACGCATTGAAGAACAAGAATACTATTTTGCAAAACTTATACATCATACTAACATACTTCAGGATCGAATGTAGCATAGAATTCTTCAAGATCAACTTCTTTCTTCTTTCTGTCTCCGAAAACTCCAACAATCAAGAGAACGAAGATTACAATCTTCATTATTTAATATTTTCTTACCTATGCTTTCTGAAACATAAGTATAACATTACATAAACAAGTTCTAATTGATTATTTCAAACCTACACATTATGAGCAAAATGCGCGTAAAATCTTAATGCTAATAAAATGAAATCTATAATAAATTCGATATCTTCGTTGAATCTCGATAGCAAAATATTATCAACTTTTTCCAGTAAACTTGAGCTAATTAAACGACTGGCGTTTCTTATCATAAAAATCCATTTAAGTTGATCCAATATGAATGAACCAGACAGACAAGGAAAGATTTAATATAGACGAAAAATACCGCATATATTCGTGGGCCAATCAGAGACTGTGTCAATTTCTCATATTCAGTTGAAGATTGAGAAAAAGTTGATATTTCATTGGAAGTTTCATTACGTATGTCGTGAAGTTCACATTTTATCATTGTGTTTCTGAGGTTTCCTAATCTTGTAAACTCATTCTGTATTGGCAATATTTAAAGTAGTAATTGTGGTATAATAATCGGAGTTCTCCTGAAAATGTTAAATTTGTTTATTGAGAACATGCATTCATAACCACAAAGGAAAAACAGTATATTGAACTAATTAAGTTTCCTTTCCCGCATGTTCGTCTACCTACTATATACTACTATGAGATAGGATAAATATAATTTCTTGATATTTTATCATAATGTCCTACATATTTTCATATATTAATAAAATGAATATTAATATTTCCTTCTGTATAATTTTCTTATTCTTCCACTGAGGGGTTTTGGTAAAATTCACATCTTATATGTTCATAGCTTCATGGCGCTGCATGCCAGTGCGAACAACTTCCCTTTTTTAGCATCGAAATGGATTTTTTTTCGCTAGTAAACTTGGGCAAACGACTTCTCTAACTCCATATCAGCTCATCCACCTAACGTATGTATGTATATTCATTTGGGCAAATTCTTCGATTTCTCACATATGTTGACACTTCCACATTGATCAGTGTTTGTGCTGCAGTATTGTCGTAACCAATATCGCTGAAATTCTAACATTTTATATTGATGCTAGGAGACATCTGTTTTTGGACACGAAATGGACCTATAGATCGTTTAAATATTCTATGTTGTTATTTTTAGAAAGATCTTTGTAATGTTCCAGTTCGTGTTCTTGTTGTTACGAAAAAATCGCTTTTCCCTTTCACTATGCTGAACCCATTGCTTTAAAATTTTAAGTGATAAAAGATTGTTGTTGTCGCTAGAATGCTATTTATTTCATTTATTCCTATATGTTCTATGAATCCTAGGATATCTGGTATTTTCAAAATTTCGCTGTAATATTTTTTATTCACGGGAACACTGTTTTTAATCCGCCAAGTGTAACGACTGTCGGTGACGCACTGTAGGTAGGTACGGTAATTTAGTGTAAAAAGTAACGTACAGTAAATGATTTAATATCACAGTTGTGAGTCTAATCATTTGTATTTTAATTCACGTTGGTACAAGATGCATGGATAATCATTATCGCGGGAGCTGGCAAAGCTATTGCAGTCCGGGTACCGGTACCAGAAGTCATGATGGTCTATACAGTTTCAGCTTCGTCCAGAATGTTTTTTTTTGGGGGGGGGGGGGGGGGGGGGGAATTGTTTGAAAAAATATATTAAAATCCAAACCCTAGCATTTTTATTGATATTGTCTGAAACCCTTAACTAAATTCTTTGAATTATTGATAATTAAATTTTTTGATATCTAATTCGATCTTAACGTGTTAATAATTTGGTCCATCGTTTGTCATGATACCATTGTTTTTGACAGAATATCTCGAAAAAGTGTTTTAAATTAGATTGGTACTAGCACCCTCTCAATTTCTGGTTCCAGATTTGCATGAATAAGCTCTAAACCAATTTACGTTTTTCATAGCACCAATAATTTAAATTACGTGTATATCGATGATCATAAGATCGGATATGCTCATAAAAAGCGGAAAGTTCATTTGCATACTTATAAAATACCGCTTTTTATAACTCCATTTCTAATCCAAACTATAGAAAACTGGACGCACTGATTTATACACCATTGAACCAACCAGTTACAATAGCAACACACCTTTTAAACAACATGTTTGTGTGTGAGAATGTGAAAATCGTTATACGTGGCGTGAAAAAATAATTATAATTTATATTAAAATGAAGAAGCAATTACGACAAACTGAGTATTTTCTTCAATTTTAAACTATATATAAATTATGGGCGCCCGGCAACGTTCCCTCTAATTTTTTGTAGTATGTGTGCGCAGAAGTTTTGGTGTGTGCGCACTTTTTGGAAATGACTAATATTTGTGCAAAAACGAATGAAGAAATTTTGGCGTTCTAACCGGGTAATGGGTGAGCCAACAACAAACGTTTTCAACCTGCCAACCGAGAACATTGTTACATTAAATCGAAATACGTCTGTGCGCTGTAAATCTATGCGTGTGCGCAGCCTCTGGAAGCTGTGTGCGAGCGCACACGCGCACACTTTAGAGGGAACACTGGAGGATTAGCATATGAACACCAATTTATGAGTGCGGATCGAAGTTTGAATCGTTTGAATATTATTCTACCCATTACAGTAGTTGATACTAATGAGAATGGAAATAAACGAACCCAGTGTCCATACATGATTTTCAACATCTGTGAATTACAATTAATTGGAGCGATAAAGTTTTTCATTTTTCTTACGCTACATGATTATCCAGAAAGTTAATAATGTAACTTATCTCTGAGTAATTGTATCAGTTGACGTTGCATTTACTAGGACAAACACAAAGACAACAAAGCTTCAGAAATAAATCAACATTCAATTTATCAACAAGAATACCAACAATCAAATTTCGTATTTTTTCATTTTTTTTTATTTTCACATACATGCCTTGTACTTTACAATGAAACTGATAAGTGTGTGTGAGTGTTGAACAACCCCTATTATAGCATTGTAAACTATGAATCACATGTTAAAGGAGAAATGCAAGATAAAAGTGTAATATTACTTGTCAATTGATTGAATAAATTACGATTTAGTGCATTGTCGTATATTTGGTAAGCGGCGGAATAAAACTAGAGGAAGTGGGCACGGATATCTGCAGTCTGATATTTTATTATTGTGAGTATGATGATAACACTGATATTGTAAAATAAAAACGGAAATTATGAAAATAATAAATAATGAATTTAAACAAACGAGGAAGAATAAAAGTACAACATATGGTTGAGATAATCGTTATATTCATAAAAATGCATTGAATATTCATGCATACAGATAGATATTCCGTAAGGAAGTATAAAATGATTTTATCATATTTCCCGGGGACACAAACTTGTATCTATACTGTGATTACAGCCCACGGTAGATGAAAATAAGAGGAACTTTTCTAAAACCATTGTATGTAGAAAGTTTACCACGAGACCGTCAAATTGCTAACATTGACATAGTGGGGGTATTTCTGATTTAGGTGGCAGAAAATTTTACAAAAAGAGCATTTCAAACAAAGTCAATTCCACATTTATTGTGTTACAGAATACAACAAAAATCTAAGTACGATCAATCCATATAATACAAAGTTTGAAACAACGAAAGAATATCTTTGCCTTGCGAAATAAAATGGTTGAATTAGGAATGATGAATAATACAATCTCAATAGGAACTATATTTAATGATGGTCTAACGAAAATAACGAAATTACACAACGCTTAATAATTTTCTTGTATTCATTCCGCATGCGGCGATGGAGAGCAACATACACTAACGGATTGACGCAACTGTTGAACCATGACACGTTTGACGCTGCCATGTGGAACAACGGACTCAACGATTTTCTGTGGAAATAAATAAAAAAAAAAACATTGGTTAATAAAATGAGAAAGACGGCAAATAAGTGAACAAAGCTAAAAAATGAACAAAAATGGTATGACAATGCATACGCACCTCGATGGTAGAAGATTAACAACGAGACTTGGTAAAAATAAAACTGTAAATGTAATCCATATGATTACACTAACATATATCATTCTCTGCTCTTTGTTGAAACGTTGCTGCTCTCCGACAGAACAAGAGCGGTTACTCTAAAATATGATTATGAGAGTTTTTACTAAATGAGTTTATAAAAGCACTCTGGGTGAGGGAACCAAAATGTTAGGCATAGAATTCGAAAAATGTCTACAATCTCTAGCAACTATTATGAAGGTAATTGTAACTTCTTTAATATGGTAATTTATTATCAAGTTGAAGGCACTTTTTTCTGTCCTTTAAATTGTTATACCTGACATTATTATCAATGGGAAACTCACCAAAAAGCTTTTGTTCCTAGCGGCACTATTTACGCACTTATTTGCGTAGTCGTCCTCTTTGTTGCGGCAAATTTTCAACAACTTTTTCAGACGTCTAAACATAAAGTAATTGTGGTTTAATTATACTATAAAAAATTTAAAATACTTCCGGTAAATATGTTGTGAATACTTCTCTATAAATACAAAAGACCAATGCTCGTTTATATGGATACGAAGGCCGCGCACCAGTACCGGTATTTATGTCTTCACTGAGTTTGCTGAAACAATCGACGGACAAGCGCAACGGAATAAAGTGCTCCGTGCGTCATAAAAAGTGCTCACATACATTGAAATGAAGACGCAGGATTTTGTGTATAATACCAGCCATCGTAAGAGATATTTAAAAGCAGTTATAGTCTCCAAGTGAACTCTTTCATCTTTAATTACTGAAAATTTTAAATCGAATTGTTCATCAGTTACCGTGAATGCGATTTTCCCCAACAACGAAACCACTAGCAAAACAAAAATATCGATATTTACATCCACAGTCCACTAAATTTTTTTTACGTAAAACTTTCAAAACAAATTAAATATTCTAACGTTTTTTTCTCAGTATGTTCTGTTTCTGGATATTCCATTTCAAAATCCATTCTGTGGTTGTTATTCTCAGTTTGTTTCATCGAATCTTTTTTCTGAATCATGTGTATAAGTTGTTGATCTGTTGATGAGCGATGTTTCGCTAGGACAGGGCTGTCGCATCCTTTGTTCAAAACAGTCAATTCTCCATACCGCGCTGATTCAATCCGTTCCTGTGCAGATTTTAAATTATCGATAGATATATAATTGAATTTCGAAAGATTTAATACTCTATCGACGTAAAACAATACACACTCTGTATTCTCTGCATCCTGCATTCTCTCTTAGTCTGATATTACTCTGGTGCACTCGTTTCCATATGAATATATATGCCACAATCATTATAACGAGCGGTAGGAACTGAAACACGACTCGGACGACCTCAAAAAACAATAGAAGTAGTAAATAGCTGCAACATGTAATATTTTTATTCACTATTTCCAACCAAATGTACTCAATGTATGAGCGAAATTTCATTTAAATATCTGAACAGTCATAATGGATGTTTTTCCCGATTATCGACCACCTCGTTTTACCTCAAAGTCATTGCTAATGAGCAGGATGTTTTAAGAGTGACAAAACAGTCAAAATATTCGCACTCGCTCATAAACTTTTTTCCGCTGAGAAGGGCATGTTCATACATGGTAGAAAATCTAGAGCTCATTTTTCTACATATTCGTAAGTTTTTTGTTTTTGAGAGTTTTTATAATTTAGGTATATGAATAAATGAACTCAATGGTCATTTGTTTCAGAGAAATTCCAGTTTGGTTTCAGTGATCATAAACTAAGAATCCATAGAATTTAATGGTAATGCTGCGATAGACTATGCTAAAATTAGCTTCTAATTCTTTTAGATGACAGGTAACTGGATTTTTAATTAAAATGCTGATTGTGATCACGTGAACAGGTTAACTAGCGGAAACACTCTTAAAATGAGAATAAAAAATTGCAATGGTGAAGGATAGTAAGAATTGTCCTGGGTTTTGGTTCAATAGTCGGGAAAACATCCATTGAATGCAACAATAAAAATATACCTGCATATAAAATCCCCATCCATCGATATTGATGAAGGTACAGAGAAATTCACGTTCCTTCCATCCGATTGGCGTTCGCGGTATTCCGTTTGAATTATTGATAATTGCCGCAACAAGAAACGGTAGAAGAAATGCTGGTGCAATCAACCAACTTGACAATAAAATCACTGACGACCATTTTGATGAATAGAGAGTCACGTATCTGAATGTGGTAAATGAATTACGCTATAAGAAAAATCAAAATTCAAGTCGGAGATCGAGAATTTTATAAACAAAATTGACATTTCATGACCAGGGTTTTCGTAAACAATTTTCTCATTGGAGAGAATTGTAGAATTGGCCCTATGGGAGAAACAGCGCATAGAATTACGAGCAGTGGTCATTGTAAAGTACTATACGCAGTGATTACATCAATTTAAAGTTCAGAGCAGCAATTTGAAAATCTCAAACAAAAAGAGTGGAAACTGTTTATTTAAATTATAATGTCACGAAAATTTTTGATATATTCTGATATGCCTTTCACATCTCCTGAAATAGTTTTGATTACGAGTCATATGATTACTTTTCGAGTGTCCAACTTCAGCCACAATCAGATTTTTTTTTTGATTAAATCATGTTACATCGGCCAAAAGTGAAAGATGATATTTTGCTGCCTTGAGAAACATGGGTTTGCTTGTGAACTTTGTGACCGAAAGACGACAAAAGAATATATTTTGTGAAGAATGTTTCCTATGCTGGCTCATTTATATTTCAATCAAGAATAATACAATTATTTTATATCTGACTTGTCAAATTTTCCTATATTAAAAATATACATAATTAAACGAAGTGTATTTATTTTTGCAAATGCATTTGCATAAACGTATTCTGACATTTTTCAGCCGCCATTGAATGTAAATTATACAAGTAAGACGTCGTTCAATATATTGATATGACCTTTACGTAGACAAGAATTAAAATGTGTCGGAAGCTGAATACAACGCAACCTTCACATCATAACAGATACGTAATGATAGACGGGATACATTTTGAGAACACGAAATATTCATCAGATGTGTAGTGAAAAATATTCCGTAAACTTATCCATCTTTTCAGGATTGAAATTAGGCCATAGCCACGCGCAGTAACCGGCAGATAACTGGATATATCATGCCAGCGAATTTTCTTTTTTTCTTTCTCATCATGTGAACATTAATTATTCAAGATTAAAATGTTCTTATGAGATTAAGAGTAGGGAATTTGGAGCAATGTTGTCAAAACAATTTCGACAAAAACGATTCAAAACAATTTCGACAGTATAGTTAGATAGGATTTTTCATATAATAAAAGGTGAAAAATATAAACTGAAGTTACGATCGGTTTTCGTCTGCGATACATTGGTCTGGATTGCGAAAAAAAAAATATTCAAAATGAATTTCCACGATACTGTGTAGCAAAGCCATATAAACTGTGACGCAGATGATACTGATTTCAAGACCAACTCACTATAGTTTCATTCGAAATAGTCCAGATATATTCTACTTGATAAATAGCTAAAAACGTCTTAGTTGCGTCGCGCAATTGCTCACAATCACATGAAAACCCTTGGTATATATATGAACAATAACAAAGAACGCTTCGTATGAAACACATGAATATTCCATTCCAATGTCAGCATAGTCGAATGCTTTTTTATTGTATTATATTTTGAACATTCCAGCACGCATGTTTTTATAAAGGTTTTCGAGCTCTTGAAAATGTGAAATAAACATTGAAATATGATAAGGAGGAAATAAATTGGATCTATCGCCTGAAAAATATTTGTGTTTCTCTAGTCAACGAATGATATCGCTTTTGAGGTTTTCGGGCCATTTCTCATATTTGGTCAGATATTTATTTAGTCACGATAACATTTCCCAGGATATATGGCGGACAAGATTTGGTCACTCATTTTCAAGTAGTTCCTTTTTTTATGTGCCCCAGCTTTTTCTAGTTATTTATCTTATGCAGAAGCGTGGGACCCTATAGCGATTGCAGAAGCGATTACACAAAGACTTTTTTATTTTTATATTTCAACATTAAAATCAGAATTTTTGAAGCCAAGAAAACAATTCTGCAGTGCGTCAATCAAAGTATAAGTTTTGTGGTCAATATCGAATGCGTAAGTGCTTGTACTGAAAGAAATTATTGGACACGAAATGGAACTAGGGATCGCCTTATCTTCTTCAAATGTAACAATATTTAACTTCAAAATACGCAGAAATATAGTCTAATTCAGTTGTGTGCCCTCAAATTTCTTTAGTGATGATCTTAATTTCATCAGTGGTTAGACATATTGATCGGGTGGATACTTATCAGTCGCTGTTTTCAATAAAGTAATTATATTACTGTACAATAAGTAATTCTACAGGGAAATAGGACTAAAAAGATATGGTGACTCATTTGAAATTTCAATCAGACCTATTTACATTTCTCGGTGGCATGCAGTATGTTCGAATTTAATCATTTAGATTCGCATAAATATTGAATTTTACGGGTTAGGAATATTCCAATTTGGTTCGCGATTTCACTGCGATTGAAGATAAATACAATTCACATTCCTACCGGCATTCCAATAGCATTCCTACCGGCACTGCTTTATTGTCATGAATGGTACTCTGTAAGCGGTTATACCGCAGATGCAAAAATGTCACCATCTACTGCATATCAGTCTAATATTTGAATGCCAAGCAGAATTGTGGTATTCGTTTTTGTAAACCAATCTGAACGGCTAAATACAATGACCAAAGATTCATATGACTATAGAAATTTTTATATTTTAAATGCTAAGTGTAAATATTTGGATCTGAAACAAATCTGTCTGTATTCATCTACTAAATACTGTATTTACCGATAACATAATAAATGAGCAATAATTCAATAAAACTAAAAAACCTGCTAACATGTATATGCAGCTCCAGCCTTATGCTAAACAGGCTGTTCGTGAAGGTGTATTATTATGAACATTTTTGGTCAACACAGTCTTTTAATAAAGGACGCTTTTTTTACGCATTCACACCAAACAAAATTATGTACCAGCATCCATTGATATCGAGATAGCTATCATTCTTGGAATAACCGGAATCTTCCCGGTTCAGCTCGTCTCTTCAATGTTTTACACGCTGGGTAAGTTTATAATGTCTCTAATGAGTAACTTTCAGTTTTTGGAACGCTCACACACTCACTCACAAATTTTGTATAAAACTCACTTAACATGAGAAAATTCAAAGATATTTCAAACAGGCACTTCAATCGCTCACCCATTCACCGCACCAAAATTAATTACCTGTTATTGTACAAAAATTCAATTAAACTTGTTGGGCTATAAAATCGCAAGATCTTTCAAACGACGCGGTCGTTGCATGTCAACGTGCTTATCACTCATTGCATTCATCGCATGAGAATTAATTACCTGTCAGGAAACACGATTCCAACAAATCTATTCATTGTGATTGCAAGAAGACAAACCACTGATGTGTAACCGCAACAAAAATAAAAGAATGCTTGAATTGAACAGGTTACGTGATCATTTCCAAACGGCCTGTAACAGAAAATATTGTTATTGAATTTTTGAATAGAATAAACTGTCCCGCTGTCTGTATACAGCAGCCTATGCGGAAAAAGTCATTCAAATTGAGATCACATTTCTATCCCTATTTCTAAATGTTGGATTGAAGTTACAACGATATTTCGAGTCGTGTTTGAACTAAAGTGAGGTTCGGGCATCATTATTAAGACTTCGCCAAGAAACAATTTTTGGACCTCTCGAAGTATGCGCACCAAAATGGCGCACAACCTGAACTCAGGTTGTGTACCAGGTTAGGTTAGGTTGTGCGACATCTTGGTGCGCATACTTCAAGAGTACCAAATTTTTTCCCAAGCCCTATAATAATAATGCTTTAAAAATCAACCCTTCTGTCAAATTGGCAGCTTAACACAGGAGAACATTGACATGGCGATTGCAACATTTCACCATACCTACACCTAAAAAGCTGAGCGCTAGGTTTCGGGTCCCAGTTAGGGTTGGGGGATCATATGAAGATACCCCACCTCAATTGATCAGGCTATCCCAGGCTACATCATATGAAGATCTCTCCTTCCCCTCAAGTCAGTTCGGGGAAGATCAGCATCCGTAAAATGAATTTTAAAAATTCTTCCAAAAAGTTTGTACTTACTAATAAAAGTAGCAACAAGAAAAAAGGGTAGGAATAAAATCACTGAAGGATTTTATTTTTTTCATGTTCACAACACAATGGTGATGCCCCGGACAATATGAGCCAATAGAACGCCAAACCGTTTAAATAAACAGTACCGATGCATCTACACCTCCGTAAGACAAACGCCATTTGTGTATATAAGATTTTATTTTTGTTTACTTTGTGAGTATCCCAGACATAACAACAGTCCTAAAATACGCAATGGCCCATCTTGGTAGTCATACGAAGCTACTCATAGTAGACAACTGGTATGAAGAGATTTGAATCGAATATTTTTTTAATGAGAATAATAGGATTTCCATCAGAAATAGCAAATATATATTGGAAATGTCATTTGCATCACAATGCAAATATCAAATAAATTAACAGGGGGAAACGTCAATATCGTTCGATATTTTATGGTGAAAATATGACAAGTATAATATTTTATAATTTCAAATATTTGATAGGTTTGGATTTTCCAATTAAATAATTATTTTCAGAAATATAAAATTAGGGCTTGAAGTCTGTATGCGCAATAAAAAAAATTATTTATAAAAGCTAGTTTTGAAACAAATATACATGAAACAAATATTTTGGCTCAAAAATAACAAAGTCAGATAGTCCAATTTTTGTATATATATACTTGTTCTCGTAAACGTCAGTGTTAGATCCAAAAATTTCTGACTTTGAAACAAAAATCGTTTTACAAAATGCCAGTGTTTTGACAACACTAAGACAAAGATATATTTAAGAGACTACGTACGGATTTGATTGCTTACATCGCCGCAGGATAACATTTTTGGATTTATTTCGTTAAAAATAAGAAATTTGCTTTCTTTGTGTCACGGTGGAATTTATATTAGTGAATATCCAATTAAAGATGAAATAAAAATCATCCTAATTCTAATTTATACGAAGTAATATTCCAACGCGCGGATTTTAAAAGTTGTCTTTGTATAGACAAAATTCAGCTATATGCCGGTGTGAATGTATTGTAATATATATATACAGTATACGGAAACCTTGGCTAATTTTGTAAAACTACAAAAATCCTAATAATTTTAAAAGTAATTCGACTGGTTTACTCAATTTTGTTAGATTGGACATTTTATCACCTCGGTGTAACATTACATCGCTTCTATTTGTTTATGTTTGGTTCAGGTTAATTAGTACGCCAAATAGTGAAGGTATGGCCGGGTCTGAACAACGAAGACAAATTTTGATGCACAGCATCAGTCATCTTAATGGAAGATGTTCGCATTCCCGCTTCTGCTGTAAGTACTGTTCAACGTCATTAGCGGTTACGTTATGAGTTGTTGATGTAATTTGTGGCGTTAATTAGGTAATGAATGTGCCAGTACTGCTTAGGTCAACCGTGAAACCTTATATTTTGTAACTTGATAAAGGCACTAACTCCAATATGATTCGCTGATATTGTTTACATTTGATTGAATAAATAAAAAAATAATAATATAAAATTATAAAAATGCCGAAAATGACAATAGCGCTTAGCGGAAGGAGTACCCGCATTATCTCAGCAAATATGTCCCTTTTTTTTATCCTTAAAGCTAAAATGTCCGCATGTTTCACATTTTCAACAGACTGTAAATGCGATTACGGTAAACAAGTGCCGGAAGGTCTTAACCTTTCAATACAAAACTTGCATTGTTTCGACCTGTCTGGCCAGATTATATTCTACGCTTTTGTCTGGGTAGTAAAATCAAATGACAAAAAAGGCTTTTTGAGTAAGAGGGTAAATTAAATCATAAATCAGATGATTTATTGTTTAACCCTCATTTCCCTAGAAGGGTTCAATGTCCAGTCACACCTCAGAAATAATTGAAGCAATTCGACCCAGCATATTCACAATTAACACGCTTCAGTAAACATAGTAATAAAATTTCATGCATGACTTACCATTCCATGTATATATATCCTGCAACGTTGAACGGCAACATACAAGATGCAGTGAGTAAATCGACCAAACTTAAATTAACTATGAAAAGATTGAAAACATTTCGTCGCAGTTTCCTGTTTTTACAGAATGCTATTATTGTCATTGAGTTTCCAAACGTACCAAGAAAAATGGCGAATAGGCCAATTGTGATTCCCAGATATCTGTAAAACATTTTGTATATCTCAATTTCAATAAAATAAAGGAGTGAAAGTTCCAATTGACATCAAATGTAGTCCGCGATTATATTTTGATCATCAGTGCACACGTAATAATAAAATCCATGACAGTTACTATTAAAAGTAAATCAATAGACTATCTGATAAATGCATTTTAATTGTATAACAGTGGAAGACGAATTTCACATATTTGAGAAATATTCACATCGAGAGTTAGGGTTTTCCCCAAATTCTCACGAGTCATCGCCGTAAGGTACGAAGCAGGCGACTTTATTTTCGATGATGTCATATTTAGTTTCGTTCGTATTCGTATTTCCGGACATCTCGATGACCTCATAATGATCGATGTGCTTACTCAAACCCGTCGAATACAGAGCTTGTATTTACGTCTATTTGTGCTTATTGGATAACCAATAAGTTTGTGACGTACACAATAATATTATTAAACAGAGTTTGAATGGAAACCGAAAACTTCCACGACTTAATTTTTCAAGCAAGGCGCTCGTACCGGTGAGGATTTTTACCATGTTCTGGACAACGATATGATAAAGTTTCTGGAAAAACATATAAATCGAGATTCATGACAAAACTGATAGTTATTTTTTCGAAAGACTACAAAAATAATATTGATGGGACAAAAAATTCCTAAAATGCCGGCCAGTAGTATCGTAAATTAACGGAGCAATTTTTTTTTTTTTGAAAATTACTTTGGTAGATTGAAAAGCAGTCGTGAAAAGGCGATATAAAAACATATTCGATGTTAATTATCCTAAATTAAGGGAATTATATTTAAACAAATTTTGTAACTAATCAAATTACAACTACGCGAAGTAAAAGTTGCGGCACTCTTGAAATACTCTACTCCAATTATATAATTTCAAGTTTCAGAATTATATATTTCACAGCAAATATCGACAAATTTTACTTCATAAAATCATTTTTATTCTGGAATAATGGCAATTTTCATTGAAAACATTGATATTAAATATCTAAACTATAACGCAGTCAGCCCGAACATTCAAACTTATGGTCAGCCAACGAAGGCTGGCGTTGCCCTGCCAAGAGTTCGTTAGCAGGCGGTATACTTTTCCAAGTTAAAATGCTTAAACATTTTTGTAACATTAGAGACATGTGCTATCGGGCGGTATAAAATAAAATAAAATTTGAGTCAGATTTATGATATTTTCTGATGAGACATTCAAAGTTTACACAAAATAGTTCAGTATGCAATGACAAAAATTGCATAAATTGTTCCAAAACATTGATTTTTGAAATCCCGTTTTTGTTCAGTTTTAAACCAGTAGCAATGCGAAAAAAGTTTATTGTCCCTGGTTTATGTTTATATCAATCCACCCATGTCCGCCCGTTGCTCACAATAAAAAGATCCCATTGAATAGCTGAATAAATTAAATTATTCGAAAATAATCATATGTCACGCATGTTAAACCTTATACAGAAAATAACAAAATTTACCGGAAGCTTTCTTGTCCTTCATCTACTCTGAAAGCAGTTTGATTCGTTGTGTCGAAAATATTATTCAACGACATCACAGGAGTTGTTGTTCGAGTAATATTGTCTTCAGCATACTGATAATATCCAGATCCCGAACCTTCGTCTTCGATTAAAAAATCGTTTCTACTCATTATTTATTTATTTATTACAATCTAAAAGAACAGAGAATTTTTTATTATGCATGTAAGTACACTCTGTAGGATTAAAGAAATCAATGATTTGAAAATTAAATTATAAATTATATGTTTGAACTGCACGCGAAGGTCGACGGTTTGGTTTTGAAGCTCAAGAGAAAAACAGCATAAAGGGTAAACTCTTGCACTGTTTTTGTATTCATGCACTTTTAGTTCGAAAAGAGTCACATTCGTCAGTAACCTTGGGCTCCCGCGCCAGGAGGCAAAACGGTATTTATCAAATGAATACAAATAAGAAATAATAACCGAAATTAAAAAAGAAAATTGAAGATGTATTACAAGTTAACACGTCAAAATAAAAAGAAATGTTACGGCTTATCAACCTGGTCCAGCCCCTCAAAAAATAATTCAGGCAACTTCAATGGATTGTTTCAAACTCATATTTTCTTGCTTTAATTCTTTTGAAAGTTTTTTGGAAACATACAGATAGAACAAAAATGCACTGAAAATAGCAGTTTCGACAGCGAAAATTTAAGGTTTTCGACTCTTAACCTGCATGCGCCACCGTGACCGAAGCGACTGCACGATACGTGAAAGCTTTTATATTTTATGCATAGTTTGGCCGGTGAATCGTCGACCTTCAGACATTCTCTCGTAACGGGGAGCATGGGCAAGAAGTCAATTGTTGTTGTTTTGATACAACGAGGTAATTGGTAATGTATACCACTGGACACTGCAAAAGGGATACCTCAATTCCACACAATTACGCAGGCACTCCTGCGAAAAATATGTCGTCCTCAGTATTGGAAAAATCCCACCCGATGCGGAACTAGAATGACTTTAACGAGTAAGAGTATCGTAACGACTAGCCTAATGCATGAACAAATTGTTACAAAAATTAATCTGAGATGACTTATATAAACTTAGTTAACTAATTCTCACTTCCTAACAATGAATTAAAATACGAAATAGTGCATGAAAGCTACTTTTATATATTCGCGTAATACCAGAATAAACATCTGATCATGGTCAAGCTCATTTCACTTAAATGAACATGACGACAGATTCCAAACTACAATTTCGTCATTTTATCTTTCAAACATTCAAAACAACAAACAACGGTCGCACGTATGCCTACTGTTAGAAGATTCAACATTTATAACATAACAAATATAATAACATAATATTATAAGTTCGTTCTCTATAGAAGCTGAAGCACAGTTATCCTTCACATAAATTGATTGTATTGTATCTTATCTGCGCGTTTGTAACAGATAAAATAATTTATTTACTGTAAAAAAAAATAATTTTACGCACTTTTTAGCAGTAAAATTGTCTGGAATAGAGTCCTGTGTTTATCTGTGGTACCGCTAAACTGAATGTGAAATACTAAAAATCCGATCCAATATGGCCACGTAAATCGCAACAGCTCAAGTAGGAATCATTCTCCAAGGTGGTAGTTAACGTTCTTCAGCAGCGCGTGTTTTTATGCTACATAGATATCGAAACAGAAAACTGTGGTCCTATTGCTACTCAAAGCAATTTATTTGTCATTGTCCAAACTTGAGTATGAATTCCGAAAAAAACATTTTCAAGACAATCATTCTTAGGCCGCTTTTAGATTAAACGAATTTCTCCTATAATACTGAGTATTTTTTGGGAACTCAAATAAGATATTTTTTATTTTGGGCTTTTATTTCAGAATATGGGCAACAACAATGCCCAACATGGACCCGCTTTACTCTTTCAGTACTTTGATAGATGTTCCACAATGCCTTTATCGTTTTATTCGAAAGCCATTACAAAAACGCTTAACTCTTATAGTGTTGTATTTCCTATCTGAACTATCAAAGAGATTTGTCTTCTTTTGAGCTGCGTATTTCGCCACCGATGACAATACACGCAGTACATACACAAAATTATATCGACTTGATAACCAATCGTTCTGTGTGAATTTTCAAGTTACATGCACAAACATAAAGGTTTTATAACATTTCTATTCATTCATGATTTGGTGTCGTCTGTGAGTTAAAACTACAAATACCTCGATTTTTTTATTCAAAAATATAATGATGTACATTTGATAATACGCTCCTCTCAATGGAGGTCTCAAAGTGAACAGCTTCTACTCAGAGTTTATACACAGATGTTTTTCTTTTCCCTTCCAAAAACAAAAACTGTAAATGACTCAAAATTGAAATCTCGAAAACTAACAAAATAGTACACGCATTTCCTGATTTATTTCAGATGTTAGATTATGATATACTCAAATACTTAATATTTTAAGGCTGGTCTATTTTCAAGTCTTAGCCTAAATGAAACACACACGAAAACCACACGGTTGAACGACCGGAAAGTAATGTGAACACTGTGGTAATATTAGGTCGCAAATGTTATTATACGGTACGGACTTCATTGAAATGTAAAAAAAAAATTGGAGTTGCACAGTATTACGCCGTTTGTAAAGTGTCATAGTTCTAAAAATATTTGTATCGCGGACTGGATATCGAGTCATAGATATTATTCGACACCTATGACCACGTTTATGATGTGCACGTCCCTTTTAGTCGGAAGAATATTGAAAAGCAGTAACTTCCGAAGCACATTAAATTTAGCTTTTGATTGAAACGTTTTGGGTTAAACGACACGGAACGAATGTAGATTTAACGGTCTGCACACATGAATATAAAATTACCATATCAGCAATAAGGAAGGAGTATTTTGATTGCAGAGAAAATTTAACACAACGATGGTAGTTCGCTGTTTTAATGCATGTCACGACACTAGAGCACTGAGTAAATGAATTTTTTTTCATGTTTTATCGAAGGGGAAGCAATTGCGAAGTTCACAGATAGAAGCTCGATTTTGGTGTTTTTAGGTTTGATCGATCAAAGATAAAAATTGGTAATATAGATTGAAATAACCTCCTATTCATAGCCGAAATTAATATTCCAAAGAACTGCCCAAAACTGACAACGCTGCGTCATAGACGTTGCATAATTTAAGTATAACATGAATTACCGTCGTGTATTAAAATCTTAAGTCAGCTTTGTAAATCTAAATAACATTATTAGTTCAGTAATCGATTTCCACACTTCTGCCAGACGCAATAAAAAGAGATGATAATATACAGAAGGCTTTACAACTTATTTGTAATCGTAATCCGATCAACTCACAACCAGTGGCAAGAAATCAATACGCTACAAATAATTTATACCGACGCAGTATAAACACATGGCATTGTGGCCTTGTCAGTACACCAAGTTAGATCTTTCAATGTACGCATGACTAAAGTTTCATTCTAGGTGTTTCCCGCATTTTAATTGAAAACCATAAATCTTATTTCACGTTTTGCGAACCAAAATCGCTGTTGTTAATAACTGTTTGTTTGCATTGATAAGCTCAGAAATTGGTTTGGTTGAAATGCGGTCTGCTTACAGTAATTGAATTCTGCTGTGGGCGATCTGCAAATGTTAACGCCTCTTGAAATAAAGCCCGCATAATTATGCGGAAAATTTTCTGAAAATCTTTTCTCATCACAAAAACACTAGAATGAGCAAAACATGCGTCAACACTTCTATAAAAACTACATACATTAGACTTTTTTCTGTCGCTGTTTATTTGCCAATTACTATCTTGCTTACTTCTCACCGATTTCGAATTTTTCTATTTATATTTCTTGTAACTAATCTACTGCGATTACATCCGGTATTTATCTTCGTCTTCCCAAACTGGATCTGAGGATTTATTGGGCTAGAATGATCATTACTCACTAAGTACCTATCATACATAATTACAAATCAATACTGTTGCAGATTGTTGTAAGATAACGAAACTTATATATACTCAAAGTATATATATATATAAGTGTGTATCTTGCTTGCATTTGCAATTATTATCGGCGATTACTAGCATACAGAACTCGAAAATACCACGCTTTTTAATTGTGAAATTTAGACACAAATTAAACTGCGCAAATAAAAAACTATCTGCAAGTTTTTACAAGACCGAACGTTCAACTTATTTCTCTCAGGAAACCAAATCCACATTTAGGTTAATTACATATCACGATAGCAAAGGTGCTAATTGCTATCAACGAAAGTTTTAATTATCTTCTCAAATACAAACAGCATCGGGTAAATTAGTTGACTACGCACTGTTCGCTCGTGGCGTATTCCAGATATCCGATAGATATGTTCATCGCACTAGAATCTCGCAGACTGGCATGATATGAAGTTATTATAATTAAGAGAATGATCCATAATTAGCCATGTTAATTGATTATCAAATCCTAATCGTGATAAATGTCTGAAAACAGACCTTAAGCTCCACCTAGATATTAATTAATATGGTGATTTGCTATACTAGAACATAGCCACTTACGAAAAATGAGTATCAAGATTCACCATAGTTTGTGTGCTATAACTAATATAGTATAAGAAACAGTTTTTCTAATTAATTCAACAAACGCAAAAAAATAGTGAATATAAATCACTGTCTGTAAAATTAATCTAAGTTTCCAAATTTAACGAACACTTTCTTCACACGTTCGAAGATTACTAAAATATTCTTTTGCTTCAAACCTGTAACATTCCCAATCATGAGACTGAGCAATGTTGGAAACCAATAATGTCCTGTCGCAGTAGAAATTTCAATATAATATCAGAATCCGCGGAATTGATTTCTGTGAACATGTCCAGGAGGAGATTAATTAATGCGAATGAACGAAAATACATGTCGAATGTTACTTCAGTGGTTACATTCTGTGATATAGGGTTTCTATACGCAACCAAGTACCAAGTATTATTTTAATTTATTCGATTATTGAGTAGTTTAGACTGCAGAACTACTCAATGAAATCACCAAATTCAAGAACGTAATGTACACTAGCAAAAGTCAGGAAATTTATGCAGCTATGCATTACCGCGCTCCAAAGAGTGGGTGTGTATATATAGATTACGCAACGAAAATCCAATTACTCTGCTGTTATTACGCAAACGCGTTAAATTTACGCTGC